AGGGGTCCCATATTTTGCCGCTACAATCAGAAAGCAAAACATTACCGACGTGCACACTTGGATCATTGAGGAAACTTTGTTGCTGGACTCGCACGCCATCTGCAAACGGTGGACACAGCGACATCATATATGACAAATGTGCGACAAACACACTGCTTCCCTCCATATATTCGCATATCACTCAGGTGGCGGACAGACGTTGGTAGCATTACGCAGAAGCATTCCACCGCAGCAGCCAAATCGTCTATTTCGGGCAGTAGTGGCACAACAAGAAATTATTCAGGATGACTTGCGTCAAGCGCAGCTCATGCGGAACAAACATGAGTTGTACAGCGTACGTCCTAGACGGTAATGAGAAACGTTTCATCGAAAACCATTTTAACTTACAGAACACGCATGTGCTTTTAATGGTTGGTATAATCGAGGTGTACCATGCGCACATAAAGCGCAAGGGTATTCAATGGTAGCTATCATGCAGATATGAGTGTACAAAATTGTTTTGATGCTCTGTAGGCTTCTCTAGTGGTCGTAGTCTTTGACCTGACCCGAAACCGTACCATCTGGATAGTTATCACGCAAAATGCATGCTGGCGTCTGCTCACAATACTAGATAATTATGCCGGGCTGCAAAATGCTGTTGTTCCAACGATACAACGGGAGACCCGAAACCGTACCATCTGGGTAGTTATCACGCAAAATGCATGCTGGCGTTTGCTCACAATACTAGATAATTATGCCGGGCTGCAAAATGCTGTTGTTCCAAAGATACAACGGGAGACTGCGAAGCTCTTACGATTCGATTTCGCTCCGCCCCAACGGATTACGAAGAGAAATTTTGTTGTAGCACTGCAGATATCCCCACGATTGCATAAGAAGCGCTGCGCAACATAATCTGCATATGAAGGCACTAAGAAACACAGAACCCTTTGCAGCCATCCACCAGCCTAAACAAGCAGAAAGCGATGTTAACGGGTAAAACGACCCAACTATGGGAACTGGAGCGAAGGCGCGCGGCGCACGTATGCTTTTACAAACCAACATGAATACGCTTGAAACCCAAGGCTCAGGAGCAGCATAGCAAGGCATAACAGCAACGAGAATGAGCGTTTTTTACCCAGGATGCGGGACATACAGAACGTCCTAGGCACGCGTGCGCTGCAGAAAGCGTCGTGACGAGCATGGCTGTAGCATTCTCGATTTTCGAACTGTCCGTTGTTCTCGTATGACGATGCATTGACCACGAGAGGCGCTGGCATGGCTGTGAGCCATTACGCACGTTCTTCGTCTGAATAGACAAGCTGTGCCGTCAATGCGCAATGTAATAATAAAACAAACAACGTTAGTGGATTACGTGCACACAAAGTACAACAGCAATATCGACTGCGTACCTCCTGGGCGCATCCAAAATGCAAACCCCACTCGAGCACTGCTGTTTCCACCTGAAAGGATTGTGTGCATTTGTGTTTCGCTAAGCACAAATGTGAACCAAAGATGAAATAGCTAGAGAGTACCGCATTGGTTACGCATAGGAAACAGATCCAGCAGGAAATTAACTGTTCCGCTTTCTACGCCCCTGTGGTGTGCCTAACAATTTTCACAGACTGAATCGGGGCTGGGTGCCACTACCGCAAGATATTCGCCAGGCCTGAGACTTGGACACATGCTTAAAAATCAAACAGACAACATTTAGCTATGCATACAAGAGCCCCTTAATGTTACTACAACCACCGCAGTTGCAAACCGCTTTTTTACGAGTTTCGAGCGAAAGGTAGATACACGCCAATGGAAAAACGGAATTCACCCTAAACGCACCTCCTAATCAGGTAAAGCGCGAATGAGTTTTGGGGCGTGCACAGTTTAGCCAAAAGCCGAATATAAGCTAGGATTCAACAAACTGGAGAGACCTGAACACATCAAAGGGTTAGCTGTGATTCGTGCTCAGGACACACAAGCTGCAG